GTGTGTGTGTGTGCGTGTGAGTGTGTGTGTGTGTATGCGTGTGTGTGTGTATGAGTGTGTGAGTGTGTGTGTATGTGTATGTGAGTGTGTCTGTGCACGCATATGTGTCTGAGTGTGTGTATGTATGTGTGTGTGTGTGTGTAACTGTAAACATGTGTGTGCGCGCGCATGTGTTTGTGTGTGTGCGTGTGTGTGGGCATGCATGTGTCTGAGGGTGTGTGTGTGTATGTGTGCGTGTGCGTGCACGTGTGTGTGTGCACATGCATGTGTGTGTTTTTTCTAATACCTTTGAGAGGCCTAGTTTTTATTTTTGTTAATTGCAAAGTGCCATCTTTAATATGTATCATTATTTGTCACAAACTCTTTATGAAAAAGAGAAGGCACAGTTCTGTAAATATCACACCAAAATAATGTGCCATATCAGTCCTGTTGTTCTGAGATTCATTTTGTCTTTTCAATTTATAAGACCTTTGTTGAAATAAAGGCAACTGTTAAAGCAACGTGACGTGACATTGTAACCTTCCGAGGTTAAGGTAACAAATTATAATTCTGACAGTCTCTTTCACAGCTCACACTAAACCAACTGACATTTACAGGCTGCAAAAACACAGTCACTTTATTACACAGCAACGTGACAATGACCAGATGAGCTTTTTCTTTTCAGTGCTGTTTGTTCATCAATAAATATCAAGCTTCCAAGTAAGCCATGGAATCTTTTGCATCCAGTCACAGAGCTGTACAGCACGGAAACAGACCCTTCGGTCCATCTCACCCATGCCGACCAGATATCCTAAATTAATCTAGCCCCATTTGCCAGCATTTGGCCCATATCCCTCTAAACCCTTCCTATTCATGTCCCCATCCAGATGCCTTTTAAATGTTGTAATTGTACCAGCCTCCACCACTTCCTCTGGCAGCTCATTTCATACACACACCACCCTCTGTGTGAAAATGTTGCCACTTAGGTCCCTTTTAAATCTTTCCCCTCTCACCTTAAACCTATGTCCTCTAGTTTTGGACTCCCCTACCCTGGGGAAAAGACCTTGGCTATTCACCCTATCCTTGCCCCTCATGATTTTATAAACCACTATAAGGTCAGCCCTCAGCCTCTGATGCTCCAGGGAAAATAGCCCCAGTCTATTCAGCCTCTCCCTGTAGCTCAACACCACGGCAACATCCTTGTAAATCTTTTCTGAACCCTTTCAAGTTTAACAACACCTGGTGCCATCTTCCAGCATTTGGCCCATATCCCTCTAACCCCTTCCTATTCATGCACCCATCCAGATGCCCTTTAAATGTTGTAATTGTACCAGCCTCCATCACTTCCTCTGGCAGCTCATTCCGCACACACACCACCCTCTGTGTGAAAAAGTTGCCCCTCAGCTCCCTTTTAAAGCTTTCCCCTCAGCTTAGACAGTCAAAGTATTTGTTCTCAAGGCTAGGAGAATGAGACTTGGTACCATCCTGGGCTGGACTACAATCTGATTTGTGAACTGTAAGCCTTTTGTTCGATGCAGGCAGCATTCGAGTTTCCAGCTACTTACTAATAAAGCCACAAAATTCGACGGTTTGGAGCAGCCAGTAAACTTTCAGAAAGTAAAAGAATCTACATTGTGTATGCAACTTATACTCGAACATCCAGAATGAACAAGATAAATGTGAGTTAACCAACGAACACAGGACCAACTGCATCAAATCAAAAAAAGGACCAAGAGTAGGCCATTCAGCCCCTCGAGCCTACTCCTACTCATGGTTGATCTGCCTCTGGCCACAACATCAAGGAAAAGGTAATGTCGCTACAGTCTAACAGACCATCCATTACTCTCTCATTACAGAGAGAGAGAGGCGACTGGTGGTGGTTTAGCCTGAGGGTCACTGTGCCTCAGGCAGAGGGAAGAGGTTAAGAAGGAGCGTCGTAGCTCCACTGGGTGGCACAGTGGCACAGCGGTTAGCACTGCTGCCTCACAGCGCCAGGGACCCGGGTTCAATCCCACCCTCAGCCAACTGTCTGTGTGGAGTTTGCACATTCTCCCCGTGTCTGTGTGGGTTTCCTCTGGGTGCTCCGGTTTCCTCCCACAGTTCAGAGATGCGCAGGTTAGGGTGGATTGGCCGTGCTAAATTACTCCATAGTGTTGAGGGATGTGTAGATTAGGTGGGTTATAGGGGGATGAGTCTGGGTGGGATGCTCTGGGGGTCAGTACGGACTTGTTGGGCCGAAGGGCCTGCTCCCACACTGTAGGGATTCTATGTAATTGAACCTACACTATCAGCATTACTCTGCCAACTCAACCCCACCACCGCCCAAACATCAAATAGATTTCGTCAAGACAGATCCCACCCAGACGTGAGTGACAGTGTTTAATTTTTCTTTTAAATTCATTCACGGGATGGGGGTGTGGCCAGCATTTATTGCCCATCCCTAATTGCCCAGAGGGCAGTTAAGAAGCAACCACATTGCTGTGGGTCTGGAGTCACATGTAGGCCCAGACCAGGTAAGGATGGCAGTTTCCTTCCCTACAGGACATCAACGAACCAGATGGGTTTTTCCCGATAATTGACAATGGATTCATAGTCATTGTTAGGCTCTTAATGCCAGAATTTTTTTTTAAATTAAATTCAAGTTCCACCATCTGCCATGACAGGATTCAAACCCAGATCTCCAGAACATTATCAGTCTTTCAGATTGACCGTCCAGTGATAATACCACTAGGCCATCGCCTCCCCTTGGCTCAGCAAATCTTGTTGAAACTTTGTCCCTTCACAAGGGATTCCAATTCGTCACCTTTGAAGATCTAACCTCTGATTTCTCTCAGTGATAATTCCTCTTCAGCCTGGAGGCCTTCCTGCTTCTTCTGTGGTCAGCAAGTAGTTGTCAGGCAACAGGTCTCAAATTTAGATTGCCATATCAACTCCCCATCAAACAGTTGCTCGATATCTCCTCCCGCTTCCATTGCATTCACTGCAGCCTCGTGAAGCGGATGCATGGTTCGGCTTCACCAGGCTGGAACTGCCCTTATGTTTCACTGAACATCACTCCCCTGAGTCACACCAAGCAAATACCGCTTGTGGGCTTCCTTGAGTTGCAAATTTCAGCTGCACAGCATGGTTGAGATAACAGGGTGTGGAGCTGGAGGAACGCAGCAGGCCAGGCAGCATCAGAGGAGCAGGAAAGCTGATGTTTCGGGTTGGGACCTTTCTTCAGAAATGGGAGAGGGGAAGGGGAGCTTTGAAATAAATAGAGGGGGGGTGTGGGGCTGGGGAAGGTAGGTGGAGTGGTGATAGGTGAGTGCAGGTAGGCAGTGGTGGGGATTGGTCAGTGGGATGGGAGAGAAGATGGACAGGTTGTGTCAGGTCAAGGAGGCAGGGATGAGAGGGAGGGTTGGAAATGGGATGAGGCCGGGTGTGGGGAGATTTTAAACCTGGTGAATTCCATGTTTAGGCCATTGGACTGTAGATTCCTAGGGCAGAATGTGAGATGCTGCTCCTCCAGTTTGTGGGTGGTATCAATGTGGCACTGGAGGAGGCCCAGGATGCACATGTCACCCAGGGAGTGGGAGGGGGAGTTAAAATGGTTCGCAACCGGAAGGTGTTGTCTCCCTCCCTTTCTCCCTCCCTCTCTCCCGTCCTCTCCCCCTCCCTCCCTCTCTCTCCCTCCCTCCCTCTCTCCCTCTCTCTCTCCCCCTCCCTCTCTCCTTCCCTCCCTTTCTCCATCTCTCCCTCCCTTTCTCTCCCTTTCCCTTCCTCTCTCTCTCCCTCCATCCCTCTCTCCCTCCATCCCTCTCCCTCCCTCTCCCCCTCCCCCAAGCCTGTCAGAATGATAGATTTTTTTTAATGTTTACCCCTCAATTCTTTTAACCCCAAAGAACATTGAGCTACGCCACTCAAACTCTCCTCTAAGCTTCCTTGCCCTTTCCGAGACAGGTTGGCAGAATCTTATTTGTGCGTCCCTGCACACATTCTGTCTTCATTCTGAGCAGAATCCCCTTGGGATTGAAACCTCTGTTGAAGATAGCCCTCCTGTTGGAAATTGCATCTGAACGTGACAGCTTTGAAATCGCATTTGGCACAGTCAATGTCAAAGCGTTTCACGCATTCAAACAGGATTGCCATCCTTGCTTCTCACACAAAAAGTCGCAGCATTGACATGTTTGCAAATCAGAAACTCATGCATTTCATACGGTAGCCAGATGGGGCTGGCTGGGAGACAATGGAGGAGAGTTAGACAACAGAGAGTCATACAGCACAGAAACAGACCCTTCGGTCGAACCAGTCCATGCTGAACATAATCCCAAACTAAACTAGTCCCACCTGCCTGCTCCTGGCCCATTTCCCTCCAAAACTTTCCTACTCATTGACTTATCCAAATGTCTTTTAAACATTGTAACTGTACTCAGACCCACCACTTCCTTTGGCAGTTCATTCCACACATGAACCACTCTCTGTGTAAAAAAAATTGCCTCTTATGGCTTTATTACATCTCTCTCCTCCCACCTTAAAAATGTGCCCCATGGTCTTAAAGTCCCTCATCATAGGGAAAAGACAACTACCATTAACTCTATCTATACCCCTCATTATTTTATAACTTCTTTAGGGTCATCTCTCAACATACTAGATTCCAGTCAACAAAGTCCCAGCCTATCCAGCCTTTCTTTATAACTCAAACACTCCATACATGGCAACATCCTGGTAAATCTCTTCTGAACCCTCTCCAGCTTAATAATACCCTTCCTATAACTGGGTAACCAGAACTGGGTACAGTATTCTATAACAGGCCTCACCAATGTCCTTTACAACCTCAACATGACGTCCCAACTCCTTTAAGAACAGAAGAACCGGGAGCAGGATTAGGCCATTCGGCCCATCGAGTCTGCTCTGCCATTCTATAAGATCATGGCTGATCTTTCTCATGGACTCAGCTCCACTTACCCTCCCTCTCACCATAACCTTAATCCCTACACTGTCCAAAAATCTAGCTTTGCCTTAAAAACATTCAACGAGGAAGCCTCAACTGCTTCACTGGGCAGGCAATCCCACAGATTCACAACCTATTGGCTGAAGAAGTTCCTCCCCAACTCAGTCCTAAATCTGCTCCTCCTTATTTTAGGCTACGCCCCTTAGTTCTAGCTCCACCTGCCATTGGAAACAACCCCCTTGCTTCTATCTTATCTATTCCCTTCATCATTTTATATGTTCCTATAATATCCCTCCTCATTCTTCTAAATTCCAATGAGTATAGTCCCAATATATTCAATCTCTCCTCATAAGCCAACCCTCTCCATTCCCGAATCACCTGAGTGAACCTCCTCTGCACCCCCTCCAGTGCCAGTACATCCTTTCTCAAGTAAGGAGACCAAAACTGCACACAGTACTCCAGGTGTGACCTCACCAGGAGCCCATATAGCTGCAGCATAATCTCCCTGTTTTTAAATTCAATCCCTCTAGCAATGAAGGACAAAATTCCATTTGTCTTCTTAATTACCTGCTGCACCTGCAAAACAACGTTTTGTGATTCATGCACAAAGACATCCAGGCCTCTCTGCACAGCAGCACGTTGCAATTTTTCACACATGGATCTGTTAGGATAACATCCTCTTTTTGATTGACAATTGGGATCAGAGGGTCTGGGGAGAAAGTAGGGACGGGGGACTGAGTTGGATGATCAGCCATGATCGTATTGATTAGGACAGCAAGCTCCAAGGGCCAAAAGGCCTATTCCCGCTCCTATTTTCAGCATTTCGATATATGTATCATTTCAAAATTCGCAGCTGAAACTCCCCGAAGTGTAGTCAATGGAAGAGTGACAAAGTCAGAGCAACACCCAACCAAATAACTACCATCTCATTACATTGGTCTCAGTCAGGGATAACTCAATAAGAAACACAGGAACCAAAAGTGCTGGAGAAACTCAGCAGGGTCGGCAGTACCTGTGGAGGGAGAGAGAGTTAACATTTCAGGTCCAGTGACCCTTCTTCAGAAGTGTAACTCTGCAATGGGTGCCACGGTGGCTCAGTGGTTAGCATTGATGCCTCACAGGACCCGGGTTCAATTCCAGCCTCAGGCAACTGTCTGTGTGGAGTTTGCACATTCTCCCCGTGTCTGCGCGGGTTTCCTCCGGGTGCTCCGGTTTCCTCCAAAGATGTGCAGGGTAGGTGGATTGGCCATGCTAAATTGCCCATAGTACCCAGGGATGTTTAGGTTAGGTGGGTCAGACATGGGTAATGCAGGGGTAGGGGAATGGGTCTGGATGGGATACTCTTTGGAGGGGCAGTGTGGACTTGTTGGGCCAAATGGCCTGTTTCCACACTGTAAGGATTCTATGATTTTACGAATTCTTAATTGCTGCTTGAACTAGTCTGGTGGTTCCTCACACAGACGGTGGTGCGTGTATGGAATGAGCTGCCAGAGGAAGTGGTGGAGGCTGGTACAATTACAACATTTAAAAGGCATCTGGATGGGTACATGAATAGGAAGGGTTTAGAGGGATATGGATTAAACACAGGCAAATGGAACTAGCACAGTTTAGGAAAGCTGGTCAGCATGGATGAGTTGGGCTGAAGGGCCTGTTTTCGAGCTGCATGACAAAGCGACTTTAATAGTTCTGCACTTATCATTGTGTGGTCCCACAACTTCTTACAATTCTCACACTGACAGTCAGAAAGTGAATAAATATTGAAGAACAGAGGCATTTCCTTGTGAATGAATTACTCGCTGTGAAAGCTTTGTTGGCGAGACTAGAGAGGGGGACGAGAGGGTTTCAGAGTGTGTGAGCTTTGGTTGGGTGTGATGTTGGAAGGGGCTGAATGGAAAAGGCAGACCTGCAGGAAACTGGAGCACATTGCAGCTTGGCCGGCTCAGTGCTGAGGGTGACTGGAGGACCACCAGGAACAGGGGTAGGCCATTCAGCCCCTTGAGCCTGCTCTGCCATTCAATAGGATGCCACGTCCCTCACGTCCACTTTTCTGCCCTTTCCCCATAATCCCTGATTCCCCAACTGATCAAGGATCTATCTATCCCAGCCTTATATATAACAAGGACTCTGCCCCCCCACAGCTCTCTGTGGCAAGGAGTTCCAAAGACACTCAACGCTCTGAGAGAAGAAATTCCTCCCCATCTCAGTGTTAAATTGGTGCCC